GAATATTTATTTGCTACTTACTGTATTCCAAGCCCTAGGCTAACACATATTATACAGATTTTTTTCTAATTTGATCTTCACCCTTTGAAATGGCTACTATTATTATCCCCAATTTGCAGATGCAAAACCTATGGCTCAGAGAAGTGAAGTAATTTGATTAAGATTATCCAGCTAATACATGATGAAGAAAGGATCAGAACTCCCACAGCCTGCGCTGGAATTATACTCTCAGGCATACACGGCCTCAATCCCAATGTGTCAATGAGTAAATTTAAAAAATCATTTGTTTGGTTTACATTACATCACCCCAGGGGATCACTGTATTGGACCAAGAAGGTGTTAAGAAAAGGCCAGGCACGGTGGCTCACGCCTGTAATCCCAGCACTCTGGGAGTTCAAAGTGGACGGATCACTTGAGGCCAGGAGTTTGAGACCAGCCTGGCCAACATGGTAAAACTCCATCTCTACTAAAAACGCAAAAATTAGCTGGGCGTGGTGGTAGGCGCCTGTAGTCACAGCTACTTTGGAGGCTGAGGGAGGAGCATGGCTTGAGCCCAGAAGGTGGAGGTTGCAGTGAGCTGAGATCACACCACTGCACTCCTGCCTCGATGACAGAGTGAGACTCTGTCTCAATTTAAAAAAAAAAAGCAGATTTCAGATATAGATATTCCGATGAATATCCACAATTTATCTTCTGTAAACTTTTAAACTGGCATAATCTAGGATTACTAGAGACTATTTATAGTAAGAACAAATAGAAAAACATTTTCTATTATTAAAACATTGTTAAAAACTAGTCTGAGTATTTCGCCAAAGCCGAAAAACAAGAAACAAAAAGCAACAACAAAACAAACTTAGGCCAGGTATATCTGCTCTGAAAACACAAATCAGTACATGCAAGCTTGAAAAACAGTGACCATAAGAAGCTCACAACTGTCTTGTCTCCACCTTGGTAGCGTATTGGGTTGTGAACTCATGAATAAAAAACTGAATACTATATTTAAATGTGAAATTTAGTTTGGGGTTTCTGCTTCTGTGCTACTTTCAAAAGGGCCCAATAGTCCTGCCCTAAAAGAGAAATATTCAGGCTATTCCGTTTCTAAAAACACTATTTGTTCAAGTGTATTTGTTCATTGATAGGTAAGTTTTATTTTAAAATATTTATTCCCATAAAGATACTTAGGTAAGAATGCTAAGGTTAAAAAAAGAACCCTAATAGGCCAGGCATGGTGGCTCACGCCTATAGTCCCAGCACTTTGGGAGGCCAAGGTGGGCAGATTACTTGAGGTCCGGAGTTCGAGACCAGCCTGGCCAACGTGGTGGAACCCCCTCTCTACTAAAAATACAAAAAAATTGGCTGGGCCTGATGGTGGGCACCTATAATCCCAGCTGCTCAGGAGGCTGAGGTAGGAGAGCTGCTTGAACCCGGGAGGTGGAGGTTGCAGTGAGATGAGATTGTTGCCAGTGTACTCCAGCCTGGGCAACAGAGAGAGATTCCGTCTCAAAAAAATGAAAAAAATGAAAAAAGAAAAAGAACTACTATTTATTGAATGCTTAAAATGAGCCAGGTGCTGTTCCCAGTGCTCCGCAAGGATGACGTCATCTAATTCCTCCAATAGGCCAATTCCAGGAGATAAGCACTTGCTACCCCCGTTCTACAGAGAGAGATGGAGAGGGGAGAGGTCAGGCTCACTTGCTCAGGGTCACAAATCTGAGAATCTAACCCAGGCAGCTTGACCTCAGAGCCTGCTCCCTGACCTGTGACGTTCTCCCCAAGAAACTGCCAAGTACACAGCATCAACAGCAACAGCTGAAACTTTCAGTCTTTCATATGATAATCAGACCCTCAACAGTGACTGGGTGTCCCTCACACACAGGCATTGGGCTAGAATAGGCACCCACCAGTCCTTCCTGCAGCCGACAAGGGCAGATGACAGACCTGGGGTGGCGGACATACTCCACTTTTCTTGGCTGTGTGAACCTGTGCAGGCTGCCCATAGAAAGCAGATAGTAAGTATTATTACTATTAATCATAGTCTGTCTCTGCTCTCGAGAAGCTGGGGTGGAAGGATAGATTATCATGTAAATGATTACCAAACAGGACAGGAAGTTCTATCCAGGAGGATCGTTCAAATCACAGTAGCGCCCTGACGGGGAGTAGGTAGGTACAGAGAGGAGGAAGAGGGAAAACAGTGAACTGCAGTGAAACTGAGAAGGGGGCTCTCCTTAGAGCTAAGTCCTAGACTTCATGCTTCCTAAGATCATTTTGTACATTGAGCTTAATGCAAATGTATGTTTCCTCCTTCACAGGTTAAACAAATAACACTGAGTACCTTTTATGTGCCAGGCACTGCAACAGGATTTTCCCATATACTGTGTCTCATTTGACGCTCACAATACTCTGTCGTTTTAACGTTTCGGTTGGTTCCAATTGGAACTTAGTGTTTTTCTGTGTCTGAGTAGGGACTATTGTTACCAGTTTGAAGACAGTGGCTGACCTGCCATGATTGACAACTCCTGTGGGCCCTCACGTTCGTGTTTGTGCCATGGGTATACACACTGGCATTTGGGTGACACTAAGAGTCACAATGCAAACAGGGGAACTCTATACACTGAAAACTCTACATTTACAAAAGTGATAAAGCATGGGTTTCCAGCGTCACTGTCCATCATTTCTAGTGCTAATCTTTCTCCTGTGCTGGAGGTATCTAGCGAACGTGTTGAGGGTATGAAATTCACTATTCCTTCCATCCAGAGCTGAAAGCCTATGCTGCCCCTGCTCTGCATCTCAGTTAAAGTCCCAGCTTGTAACCCAGTGAGTTTCCCAGACAGGAATCCGGGGCTCACTTCCCACTCAGTCTCTGCATCCCTCCTGAGCGGCTCGCCCTGCTCCTCCTTCCAGGCACACTGCTCCTGTCCAGCCCTCCTGATCTCCTGCCTTGCGGGCCGCACACATCTTCCTCCCACTCTCTCCATCGCTCTGTCAGCCACATGCTGTTCCAGCTACGATTCTACAATACAGGCACAATTCTTCCTTTACTGGAAACTTGCAATGGCCCCCTCCAGCCCACAGGTAAGGCTGAAGGCCTCACCACCGTACACCTAGGCTTTTGCACTCTCACTCCACCCTACTTTTACCAATGCCAGCCAGACAGCTGTTCCAGCAACACTGGGCCACTTGCCCAATCCTACGATTTTGCTTTTTGTTTTTGTTTTTTTTCTGAGACGGAGTCTCACTGTGTCACCCAGGCTGGAGTGCAGTGGTGTGATCGCGGCTCACTGCAACCTCTGCCTCCTGGGTTCAAGTGGTTCAAGTCTTGAGTAGCTGGGACTATAGGCATGTGTCACCACGTCCGGCTAATTTTTGTATTTTTAGTAGAGATGGGGTTTCACCATGTTGACCAGGTTGGTCTCGAACTCCTGACCTCAGGTGATCCCACCCACCTTGTCCTCCCAAAGTGCTAGGATTACAGGTATAAGCCACTGTGCCCGGCCTCACTCTTCTTTAGAAGCATATTATTCTTCCAAGACAATCAACAGCTAACCCAGTTTTCATTAGCTGGGTGTGGTGACACACACCTGCAATCCCAGCTACTCAGGAGGCTAAGGTATGAGAATCACTTGAACCCAAGAAGCAGAGGTTGCAGTGAGCCGAGATCACTCCACTACACTCCAGCCTGGGCGGCAGAGCAAGACTCTGTCTCAAAAAAGAAAAAAATTGCTCAGAAAATGTAAGAACTGAATGTGCTTTGTGTTGAATTTACCTCTGTTTCCGAGTATGTGATCTACCTGGGGTTTGACTCAGAGCCCTAGCTGCAATAGCAACATGATACCATCGCATGAGCTGACTGGTCCAGGGTAGAACATTATCATCATGAATGATTTTTTTAAATTAAATTTTTAGTCTGGAAGAACTTCTTAACATTTGTAGCATGTGTTTATAGATTTCTTTTTTCAAAAACAAACAAACAAAAAAAACCCTTAACACTGAGGATTAGGTAAAAGTTCCAACAACTTTCCAATCTAAAAAAGTCACAAGATGATTATTTTTGTCCCCTCCCTTTGTGTAAGACCCAATGTGGATAGACTCTAGCAAACTGTCTTCCCACAATTTGAAAGTGAATACTTTTTTAAAAAATAGCAATTTGTTTCCTATGTAAAGTTTAAAAGATACGGCCAACCTCCAATCCTATACAGGCCTGTGGAAATTCGCAGCAGGATTCTCATCCTATGCAATCGGATAATGACAGATCCCCCATTCTTGTTTATTTTAAGAACTCTCCCAACAAGTTAATGTTCACAACACAAACATACTTAGAGAAAGACATTGTAAACAGAAATGCAATTGCAAATATACTGCACTATTAAACAAACTCATTTATGGCCCTATGAATGTAAAATAGCAAGTCAGATGGTTATCTCGGATGTCATGCAACGTTCTGGACTGAGGCAATGTTCTGGCTATGATATTAAAATAGAAAAACCTTTGCAAAGCGTTAACCTATCATTACACGGAGTAAATGGCATGGCGCTGCCACCTAATTAGCAGTGTGGCTTGCATCTATAAAATAGAATTAGCACGACTGCTCCTTTTTTATTATTAGTTTGTGTTTCCAGAAAGGTATGACCTTATCTGCATGGTTCTGTTCATTTATGCCCGTCTACAAAAGATCTAATTATATTCTTTTAGGTCTTTACGCTACGGAAATTGAAAACTGCCACTACAAAATTAAAAATGCAAAAGAAATTAGGGAGCAGATTATTTATGCCATCACCCTCCTCCTTTTGGAGGCAAAGACTGGAAACCTGTCTACATAAATAAGGCATGAAATTTTCAGAAAAGAAAGCTCTAGACAAGAAAAATATTACCAGTCTTCTTTTCTTCTGTCCCACATATATCCTGCAAGTTTCTCTAACTGTCAAAAGGAAAATGTACGAATACTATAAAATTCCTGAAAGTTACATTGCATTAGAGTCAGCAGCCAGAAAATAGCGACTTACATCTGAGGAAGGTGATTCCAGAACAATGCCGAATCCCAGCACGCGGCTCTTCTCCGGGGAGGTGGGCTCAGCTGCCTGGGCAGCAGATAGCTCAGAGGCCACCGCTGCCTTCCCCTCGGCCTCGGACCCGCTGGGCTTCTGTTTCACAGTAAGAGGTTCCACAGTCTTTGGGGGCACTTTTTTCTTTTTATTTCTCTTTCGTGAGACAGCAGTTCGCTGGGAGCACATAAGGGAAATTGGGGGTTGTTGTCTGTTTTGAGTTCCAACTGCGAATAATAAACAAAAATATGGTACAGGCACATGTGTCTGACTCAGGAAAACTTATCTCCGGTCTATCCATGTGCTCTACAAACTGAAACCAAAACGAGGAAAACTCCAGGATGAAGCTCACCAAATAATTCTCCCACTGGACCTAAACGGTAACAAACGCAAGCTCGGAAGCATTTTAAAGTCCTAAAGGCAGAAACATACTCAGGAGAAAGCTTTACTGCAGATGAACCGTGACAGAGTATTGCTGTTGGGTTCAATCCAGAGAAAGGATCATGAACTGTGAGAAAACACTTGAGCGTATCTTTATAAATCACAGGACATGTTTAAACAAATGAGAACTTCGGAACTTAAATTTAGGTAGAGATGGGCGTGCTTCCCGACAAGCCTATTTCAGGACTATTCCCACTGTCGTTTGGGTTTAGACTGATCAGGTCCTAATAATCTACAGGTGCCAAAATGGACAAAGATGAAATAGTGATGATCATTTGGGCAAGACTGATCCAAAGTAGTAGTCTGGGATGATTCTGTAATACGGACCCGTAAGCAGGTGGGAAAAGCCTATTAGTTACCTAATTAGGACCAGTGAATCCTTCCTCACCAAATATTCTCCACACAGCAACCACCTCCAGAGCACTCCGCTACCTGGCTTCAGACCAGGCCACTTCCCTAGACCTCAGTTTGGCATACTTGAAGGAGCAATATCATTCCGTGCAAGTCAAACAAATTAGTGAAATCTAGAAACAGTTCCAAAGACAAAAAGCACAGTACCTGTACAGCGACCAAGTATTCACACTGAATCTATACTTAAGGAAATCCAGGACGGCAAATTACAGTTGTCACAGGTGCACTCTGAGAAGTAATGTTTGCTAACCATTCAAAAATACTCTCTTGGAAAGTGTAATTGGGAAACATGGCATCACTGTTTAAATCCTCAAATATTAATATGGCTTCCTAAACATGGCTACAGGATGTCCCAGCTTTTCAACAGAAATCATCCTATAAAACAAGTGAAACCTAAGGTCTTTAAAGGCACATACATGGATCACTTCCTCTTACCTCCTATCATCTGAAAATAAAGAATATTTACACTTTGATCCTAATATTTTTGTCTCCAAATTTGAAAGCAATTCATAAATATTAGAAACAAACTAACTGCACTATGGAAAAGCACAGAAGTTTTTAAACCAGTCATCTAGCTCACTGCTTCTCCACCTTGGCTGTCCATCAGAATCACTCGAGTTTGAAAACACTGAGACGCCTCAGCCCCAGCCCAGACTAAGGGAACTGACACTTCCAGGCGTGCAGCCTGGGAATAGGTATTGTCTGAAAGCTCTTCCAGAAATTCTACTGTGCAGCCAGAGTTGGGAACTTCTCTTTGCTCTTTCTGCATTCAACCTCAAGGCTGGGTCTGTACCCCTAAAATCAAGGGGACCACGAATAATGATGGTCTAGGCCTCAGGCCTTGCTAAGCCTCATGATTCTGAAGTAAAAATGACAATGCTTTGGTTTAAGAAACACGGGGACTATCTCAGGTTTTCTTCTCCTTTCACAAATCTAGGCACAGCCCAAGTACCTGGCATCCAGACCTTACCTCTAGGTCTTATTCCTTGTCTTCTTAAAAGAAAGGTGAAACTTTCTAAATGTAATTTAAATCTAAGTCTTCAGGCATTAAACCCTTAAGTAAATCTACCCACATGACACAAATTTTTTAGGTTTAAGAAAATTAAAGGAGAGTAATTTATTCAGTTTATCCTTTGTGCCATCCTACAGCTTTGGAATCGTTTACCTCCCTAATCTGCAAAGGTTCAGAAAAGAAAACACAGCGACAAAGTGGCATTTACTTAATAGATTCTAAAAAGGCTTCCGTCAAGGATTTAAATGGTTGCAATTTGTAGCTTGCCATTTCAGTAGTAAGGAGCTTAAGTGACAAAATAAATCATTACGATTTCATATGCATATTTTCTTAAGTGCTAACAAATTCCCCCTCGGAGAAAAGAATCCGAACATCATAAAGTAACCTTTCTTTCTGAGCTCCTTATTTAGGAGACGTTAACCTCTGCCAGGTTAATAAGAACACAGATTATCATGGTGGAGCAGGGTCAGTCCAATGCATATTGACCTGAGCAAAAGGCTTCCTTGGGGTAAAACCAAATTCAGTGCTTAAAAAGATGCTGTTTTTCAGAAAGTAGCTCATCCTGCTTCAATGTGATATTGGATGATTGATATATCTAAGTATTAAGCTTTTTCTACCAAAACCAAATAATTTTTATAATTAAAATTTTTTTTTTTAAATTTTGTAATTTTTTCTATCAAAAATTGTACTCGAATTCACTAAATGGCATCCTGAACAGCTTCTGAGGAGCGACCTCCCTGAATGCCCTTCCGATGAAAGGGCAGGAAAGCCAGTCACAACATGGCTAAGATCAAGGGGTGATTTCCCTTGACAAGAGGGAAAACTTAATAAAATGATTTATTTCTTGTATCTGGGACAAAAACAATTCTGTTTTCCCTCAATTGTGAAGATCAGAAAATACAGCTGCTATAATGAAGACCCAGACTTACAGGCTTCTATAGAACGCTCCATGGACTTGAAGACGACACTAATAAAACAGCTTAGGCTCGCACACCATGCCTTAGAAAGTTCATTTACATCTACTACATCATTCTATTTTGACAACAACCCTATGAATTAGACACAAATTCTCCATTTACAGACGAGAAACAGGAAGCTCAGACATATCACACAGCTCTAAGAGCAGAAAGCGGCGTCCAATCCCAAACCACAAATCCACTGCTCTTCCGTTCCTCAACCTGCCTGACAGCACTGAAAATAAAAAGAGAAGTCACAGAAACAATGAGGACAGAGTGGGAGGGTCTCTGAGCTTCCGAACGGCATCCTGAACGGGAGAGAGAAAAGCCACAGAGCGCAGCCTGGGGCTCAACATTTCTTATCTGCTTATGTCCTTGAACACTGAAGCCCATGCTTCCTAGAGGGCTCCTCCATATACAATTGTTCCCAAATTTAATTAACTGACATTTGTGAAGTACCAGGAGATCATGGAATGCAGTCTATCAAGCACATACACATAATTATATGAGCTGTATCAGCAGCAAGACAAAATATGTTTGATTTGCTAAAGGAAAAATGGATTGCAGAGAAAGCAGAAAAAACAGATACTTGAAAAGGCGCAGCAAGCCAGCAAGGTGAGGAGGAGGCTTTAATAAAAGCACAATGAACATTCCAACAGAAGATGTCAGATATGCATTAAAAATCAAGGACTCATTCTGAGGCCCGATCCTTGTACCTGCTTGAATTTGCATTAATTTCCTCATGGTCTTGAGTTCTTGCAGAATGGCCTGCAACGTTGACTGGCAGTTACAAGTACAGCAGTTTGATCCAGCTGATGAATTCACCACTGGAAGTTCTCCTGCGCATGAAAGAGAAGAATGACATACTCCAAACAAACAAACAAACAAATCATAAAGAGGTGGGGAGAAAAAAGAAGTATCTTGGCAGGATTTTGAAGCACGTGCAATTACGATGAAGCTGTGACTAAGGGAAACGGACCCGCTAATTATCACAGCCTAAATCTGGGGGTCTGACTTTATCTAATTACCCCGGCTCCCACACTGTAAGATGCGTGCTGTGGTGCGGTGCAGGAACCCACCTGCACACACACACACACACACACACGGTGAGCGGCCACAGCAGGCCTCCCTATTGTCAGAGCCGTCCATCTCCAACAATGACACCTCAAAACTCACTCTAAACACACTCACACTAGCTCACACAGAAAACAAACCCTGACAACAGCCCTGCAAAAAATATTTGGTAGCTGTGCGTAAGAGTTCATATTAGGAATTGTGTTCTATTGAAAATAGTTTTGATATTAAGCACATTATTTCAAAAACAAAGACCTGTGCACACACGGAAAGTTTCAGAATCCTCTCTGGGTGTGGCGTTTGGGGTGGGGAAGGACAGAGAGTAGGGATGGGAGGGTATATTTGAATTGGATGGGTTCGAGGGTATTGGCGGGCTGGCTGGCTTTTCTTCAATGTAATAAATAAAACCCTCCTACCTCTTTTCTCCATTCCTCTTCCTTATCTTCCCCTCACCATAGCCTCTTTTTCACTGTTTACATTGAATGCCTTTTCCAGCCAGGTACCGTGGCTCATGCCTGCAATCCCAGCACTTTGGGAAGCCGAGGTGGGCGGATCACCTGAGGTCAGGAGTTCGAGACCAGCCTGACCAACATGGCGAATCCCTGTCTCTACTAAAAATACAAAAATTAGCTGGGCGTGCTGGTGGGCGCCTATAATCCCAACTACTTGGGAGGCTGAGGCAGGAGAATCACTTGAACCTGGGAAGCGGAGGTTGTGGTGAACCAAGATCGTGCCATTGCACTCCGGTCTGGGTGACAGAGTGAGACTCTGTCTCAAAAAAAAAAAAAAAAAGTAATGCCTTTTCCTTAGTAAACCTATCTTACTCTGTTTCCCTTATAGGTAAGCAAGTATTTTCTACTGTCCTTAGAATGAAATAGGACATTGGGAAATTGCTCTTACACTGGGTTCCCTCCAGCACCTGTTCACCCTGACCACCATAAGTGGAGCAGCTTAGACTCCCAGCACATATTTTCTCAGAGGGGCGCAAGGTAAGTTCTACGGTTTTGTTCCAATTATATGTTTAATTATACTTTATATACCTTACATCCTGTAATACGCATTATTTGAGAATACTATAGAAAAATTCACCAGAGCAAAACGATGAAATACTTCAAGATAATTTAGTGATCATAGTAGTCCAATTATTTACATTCAAAACTGTAGCAAAGCTGTAATGTTACAGTGTTAAAACTGCAAATAATCCCAATGAAATACCAAAGTAGTCACAGTTATACATAATATATTCTTTTCTTTCTTATTTATTTATTTATTTATTTATTTTTTTGAGGCAGGGTCTTGCATTAGGCTCTAGGGCAGTGGCACGACCTTGGTTCACTGTAACCTCCGCCACCCAAGCTCAGGTGATTCTCCTGCCTCAGCCTTCCAAGCTCAGGTGATTCTCCTGCCTCAGCCTCCCAAGCTCAGGTGATTCTCCTGCCTCAGCCTCCCAAGTAGCTGGGACTACAGGCGTGCGTCACCACACCCAGCTCATTTTTGTATTTTTTAGCAGAAATAGGGTTTTGCCATGTTGGCCAGGCTGGTCCGAGCAATCCAGTCATCTTGGCCTCCCAAAGTGTTAGAACTACAGGCATGAGCCAACACTCCTGGCCATGTTTCTATTGAAAGCATAAAATCAGTATCTATTTTCAAACTGATTTGGGGGAATTTATGTTTGTAACTTTTACTAACTTGACTAATACCTTCAAAGCAAATCCACGGTCCCTGATATATACTGGGAAATAGAACACTGTTTACTCAAAACTTGCCAATGTGGGGTTATTAACCTCATACATACCTAAGGGTATTTTATGTCTCCTATTCTCTCTTCCATCATAGTAGAGTTGGGCGGTCTTAAAAAATATTTCCAGTCACTATTCTAAGTACCATCTTTATCATTTTTAGAGGACAAAACCAACCCTTTTCAGCTTGTTATAAATCATTTTTTAATTTTAAAGAGAGCTGACTTTTTATTTTTATAGAGGAGTCTTTAAAGAGCCATGTCCCTCTAACCTGGACACATGCCAGCATGGGAACTTTGATACTGGCTTATGCAATATTGAGAGGAGGAGAAGACACCCACACATCTTTGGGGTCCTTTGCTGTCTCACCAATGTCTCAGGATGGCTTTTCACGCATCTGAACCACAAACTGTGTTTAAATAAAGAAACCAAAACAGTTCTCTTTTTCCTGAAGGATATTGTGAATTAAAATGAAAATGAAAATGTATGAAAAAAAATCCTTAACTTCTTAAGGAAGCTGAAAATGCTTTCTTACCTTTCTCTTGTTCTCTTTGTGAAAACTACAGATCTGCACATCTCTACACTGTTTACAGAACAAGTATTATAGTGTCCAATGTGGTTGGCTAGAAAACTAATATGACCACAGAAAGCATCAGGTTTTTTCCTTAAGCTTTGAAAAGAAAAACTGTCGTTTGATTCTTTTCTTAACAATTAGGAAACTTAAATTAAGAAAATTTTACTTTAAAGGAATACTTTCCATTGCTAATGAAGCATGTTATAAAATATGGATCACTGGGTCCAGTACTGACATGGGATGCTGGGTTATCAGCCCCCGCTTTATCTGGGACTCTTCTGATAATGGGGAAGGTGAAGGAGTAAATGAGAGGATATGTCAGTAATACACCATAGGACCAGGAAGCTTCTTTTAGTGACAATGGCCAGCTCTTTTTGCCCTAATGTTCAGTTGTTTTTTTTTGTGACGGTAATATCTGTATATAGGCAAAAAATAATCGCTTTAATTTTTTTTTATTTTTATTTTTTGAGATGAAGTTCCACTCTTGTTGCTCACGCAGGAGTGCAATGGTGGGATCTCCGCTCTCTGCAACCTCTGCCTCCCAGGTTCAAGCAATTCTCCTGCCTCAGCCTCCCAAGTAGTTGGGATTACAGGTGCGCACCACCACGCCCGGCTAATTTTTTGCGTGTTTTTAGTAGAGGCGGGGTTTTCACCACGTTGGCCAGGCAGGTCTCGAACTCCTGACCTCAGGTGATCTGCCCACCTCGGCCTCCCAAAGTGTTGGGATTACAGGTGTGAGCCACTGCGCCTGGCCCGCTTTCACTTCTTAAAGGGCTAAAATCTCTACCAGGAAATCTTCACTTATAATCTAGAACCCCCGTCTTTCCTAATTCTCGATTTTGTTTTTTTAATACTCTCTGGTATTGTCCTTTGTGTCTCCCTGCCTTTTATAGTAACTCTGTGAAGACAGGTAATTATGGGAGGGTTTAATAAACTGAACTCAAATAACACAATGAATATTTAGAAATAAAACACAACAGTACAAATCCCCATGAGAGCCTTCTGAATGTTTGTTGACAACCGTACCGTTGGAGCTTGCAGCAGGGTGGGGCTGGCTTTGGAAGGTTCTAGAACGGGTGCCATACTGCCCTGAGAACTGTCCACTCTGGGGCGGTAGCTCATTCCACACACCACGTGAAGACGGATGGAGGCTCTGCGGGGCCTCAGCAGAGGAGTTCAAACGCGGAGGCCAGACTAAATCCAGATCCTGGGGCTCTTCTTTTAACTTCTCTCCTTCTTTGCCAACTCGCTGATATATCCGCCCGGTGCTGTCATTCAGCAGTCTTCTCATCCCTGTAATTTGCTTTTTTATTTCCATGCTTTCATCTCCTAATGGAAACAGGGCCAAAGTTAGCATTCTAAATTAGCGAAAGAGAAAAACCGTTCACTAACCAAAAAGAAGAGAAAGGAAAAGACAACCCTTCTTTGGAAATGGGAAAGATGACTGATTCTATAAACTTAATCTGTAAAACGCAAAGGCAGGAGAACTGGCTACAGTCTGAAAAAACCATCCGATTCCTACTGCATCTCATTTTAAGCTCTTTCTGCAAGTCTCTTACAATAAAAGAGGTTTCTTGAGAGTGTGTCATCGGCAACAAACAGGAAATCCCCTCTTTGGAAGCATTTTCTGAGTGAGAAGGTCATGAGGAAACAGGCTGAGACAAGGTCAAGGATAGGACTGGACTGCAGAAGCCCTCCGTCCTGATGTGCCACAGCCACCTGCGAGGAATGGGCAGGTCACTAACGCGCTCTGCTCACTGTCTGTCAGCTTCGGCAGGCGGGGCGAGGGCAAGGAAGAAGGCCTGGACTGGCAGAGACACTGGGCATCACTACTGACACAACATCCTCCGGGATGATACGCTGCTGCTGGAGACATCGCCTTCAGAGAGGAGGGCCGAGGAGACAGGGGGCGCCGAGTGGCAGCGTGGCAAGCGAGGGGGGCTTTGTTTTTCTGGCACCCTGACTCCCATCACATCAGCCCTGGTGATGACTGAGGGGCCCCTGCCACTTGAGGTCACTGGCTGTACCAGCATGGGAAGGGCGGCAATGCAGCTTCCCCACTCTGCCCTCCTCCCACGCCAAACCCACTGCCACCTCCCCCCTGCAGCGTCACTGCGTGCAAAAGGTCACGGGCCACTTTGAAATCCCACCTCACCTACACTGACATTTTTGTTGTTGTTGTTGTTGAGACAGAGTCTTACTCTGTCGCCCAGGCTGGAGTGCAGTGCCTCAATCTCAGCTCACTGCAACCTCCGTCTCCCGGGTTCAAGCGATTCTCTTGCCTCAGATGCCAGAGTAGCTGGGACTACAAGGTACACGCCACCATGCCCAGCTAATTTTTGTATTTTTAGTAAGACAGGGTTTCACCGTGTTAGCCAGGCTGGTCTTGATCCCCTAGCCTTGTGATCCGCTGCCTCGGCATCCCGAAGTGTTGGGATTACAGGTGTGAGCCAGTGTGCCTGGCCTGACTTGTTTTTTTTAAGATTTTTCTCCCCCTCAGGAAATTTTTCTTAAACTAAAGAACTTCTATACTGCACTAAAGAGTACTTAATAAATATTGCTTGAGGTTATCTATAATATTGTACAGATAGAAAATATTTTCCATCAATAATAATATCAGAGGATGCTGATATCTATTGGGAGCTCCTTCAAACATACTATCTTCTTAAACTGTGCATCAGCCAGTTTAAGATGAAGTGTTCTTCATAAAGATGAAGTTCTTCATAAAGAAGAAGAGAAATGGACTTTTTTCCCCCCTCACACCCAGAAGATAAAATCTTAGGCCACTGCCAGCCATGGTGGCTCACACCTGTAATCCCAGCACTTTAGGAGGCTGAGATTGGCAGATCACTTGAGCTCAGGAGTTTGAGACCAGCCTGGGCAATACGAAGAAACCTCGTCTCTACAAAAAGTACAAAAGGTAGCCCAGCGTGGTGGTATGTGCCTGTGGTCCCAGCTACTTAGAGGCTGAGGCGGAAGGATTGTGTGAACCCTGAGGCGGAGGTTGCAATGAGCTGAGATCATGCCACTGCACTCCAGCCTGGGTGACAGAGGCCAACCCTGTCTCAAAAAAAAAAAAAAAAAATCGTAGGCCAAGGTATGTGTGTGTAAACTTTCATGCAGTTACTCTACTAAATGCTTGAAATTTAAACTGTAAGAAAAAGACTGGCTGGGAGCTGTGGCTCACACCTGTAATATCTCAACACGTTGGGAGGCCAAGGCGGGCAGATCACGAGCTTAAGAGATCAAGACCATCCCAGCCAACATAGTGAAACCCCATCTCTACTAAAAATACAAAAATTAGCTGCATGTGGTGGTGCACACCTGTAGTCCCAGCTTCTCGGGAGGCTGAGGCAGGAGAATCGCTTGAACCTGGGAGGGGGAGGTTGCAGTGAGTCGAGATCACACCACTGCATTCCAGTTTCAGTGACAGAGCAAGACTCCATCTCAAAAAAAGAAAAAGAAAAAAAGAACTAACAGACAGCATCTGTTAAGAAAAATACAGCTCCTACAAATAAATACAGCACGTTCAATATAATATGCACTCGGATCACATAAGCCAGGTTTCTCTGTAGAACTGGGAACTGCACATAACCCAGCCACTTGGTGTTGTGCAGTTAGATATTTTGCTTATTAATATATGTGTTATGTTACTAAATAGGGAAGTTTATTTTGAATTTGTTGTTCACTATTTTGAAATAAATATCTCCAGTTTTAAAATATGGTACTAAAAACATTACAGTGTATATTAATTCTGTCTAATTGAACATGGGTGAACACAGAAATAACACAGATTTCCAAATTTACAATATTGCTGTGTGTTGCTAGCATATGCGTGTGAGGAGAAATATTCTAATTTGTAATCAAACTATCTCTACTTCAAACCCCTGTGAAAACTGCATGACATAAACAATAAATCACATTCCAGATTTTATGAGAATGAATGACCAAGCGAGATTTAAATAGGGCAGAGTCAGCAAAATGTACTACTTTCTTAAGAAGCTATGGAACAGGGTGTGTCGGGAAAAGCTCCTAGAGGAATCCTGAAAGATAAACCCACAGGCAAATGGGGTATTAATTTCAGCATCCAGGCACATACATTCCCGGCTAGCTAACATCACAATTCAAGCAAGAGGAGGCATCTTTCCTGTGCGGTTTCTACCCACAGCCCTCCCCATCAGGTCAGGAGTACCTGCATTAATGGCTGTGCAGAGACTGGCCTTTGCTGGCACAGGTTGGTGGCTCCCTCCCCCAAATCCAGGCTCCCTGAAAAGAACGGCCACGGCTAGGCGCAGTGGCTCATGCCTGTAATTTCAGCACTTTGGGAGGCTGAGGTGGGCGGATCACCTGAGGTCACATGGTCGAGACCAGCCAGGCTAATACGGTGAAACCCCATTTCTACTAAAAATACAAAAATTAGCCAGGCATGGTGGCACATGCCTGTAGTCCCAGCTACTTGGGAGGCTGAGACAGGAGAATTGCTTGAACCCGGGAGATGGAGGTTGCAGTGAGCCGAGATCATGCCATTGAACTCCAGCTTGGGCAACGAGAGTGAAACTTCGTCTCAAAATAATAGTAATAATAATAATAATAATAATAATAATAATAAAAATAATAAAAGAAAGAAAGAAAGAAAAGAGAGGCAACAGCCAGGCCAAACGGGGTAGAAGCCCGCCCTGGCTCTTGAGTCCGTGCCGGCTTGCTTCTTCACACGAACCCACACATCACAGAAGAAGGTATGTGTCTTCTGTCAAAGGTCCTCTGCTCTGTACATAGAATGCTAGTATACAGGGCTACCATTAAGAAAAGGAAGGTGTCACAAGGATTCTGGAACCTTCTGAGGGCAAATCTGCTTTGTCATGACCTCAGTTTCAGAGTTCCGAAACTTACGCCTATGAAAAGTTTGTGGCTGAAAATACAACTGGAGTTTTGCATGACTTTATATTTTCATTTTGAAAACCAGCATCCTCAGCTGCAGGTGGCGATGGGGGAGGAAGGTGGCAGGTATGAGGGGTTCTGGCGGTAGGCTGCCCTTGCGGTGTGCAGAAACATGCCTCCCAAAGGCAAAACAAAACAAAACAAATACGCAAAAAACCAGGACGTCGGGAAACTGAGGAGGAAGAAACAGTGCTGAGAGGAAGAGGGCAGAAGGCCAGAAGCGGGGCCGTGCTCAGAGGAAGTACGCTCACGGCCTAGCTCACTGTGGCACGTTTTCAAGAATGAAACACAGGACCGGGAGCAGTGGCTCACGCCTGTAATCTCAGCACCTTGGGAGGCCGAGGCGGGCGGATCACCTGAGGTCAGGAGTTCAAGACCAGCCTGGCCAACATGGTGAAACCCCATCTCTACTAAAAATACAAAAATTATCTGGGTGTGGTGACATGCCTGTAGTCCCAGCTACTCAGGAGGCTGAGACAGAAGAATCACTTGAACACAGGAGGCGGAGGTTACAGCGAGCTGAGATTGCGCCACTGTACTCCAGCCTGGCGACAGAGTGAGACTGAGTCTCAAAAACAAAATAAAAATAAATAAATAAATAGATAACAAAAAAGGATGGAATATGGCAAACTGCAGAAGTCTGTGCTGAGAGGTGGCAGGGAAGGCTGAAGAAGGGCAGGGTGGGAAAATCTTCTTAGGAGAGATGACGGTACGTTCAGGAATGGTCTCTGGGGTTTAAGGAGTCACACACTCTTCACCCAAAGCAGCAGGAGCAGCTAAGCAGGTCACCCCTGCAGCTGCTGCCTAGGAGGAGGGAGTTCTGGGGCTCCATTCCGCAGTGGGGAATGATGAATGACAGCCTTTGGCAGACAGGAAGAAAGAGGTTTCCTTGCACATTTGGGGCAGATGGGGCAGAGGATCAGAAACGAGGCCTGAAGACTCAAAGTGCCAATGACAAAAAAGCTGAGTCAACCTAAATAAACTGGGGACAGTGGGTGCCGAGGGCAGACTGGCAGGCCGAGCGGTAGAAGCTCGGTTGGTGTGGCGCAGTGCTAGCGAGGAACAGGACAGGCTGGGCTGCTATTACATCCCACGCTGGACTCACCTCCTAACTAGACCCACTTGCTACTAGATGCCAGACAGGCCACTGAATATTCTCTGGTTTCCTAAATCCTAAATCAAAGGTCTGAACCATAACCCGAAGAGTACACAGTAGTCCAGCAGGGACACAGGATTTTCATGGTCACCAAAGTGTTAACCAAGCATTTCGTGGCTCTAGAAGTCACATGCGTCCTTTTCAGGAGATGGACTTCTATCATAGTGGAACCTAACTTCTTTGGTTAAAAACAAAAATGGTGAAAAGTATACAGGAGATTGAGATTGGAAGCATT